AAATGCTATCTAACATGATCTAACTATTCTAAACTTAATTCTATTTATAAAATATTATATAAAATTGTGGCAATAGTTTTGGGAATTGAGCCATTGTCGTTAAAGTAACAGCACTTCCACAGTCACCAATTTGTTAAATATGCAAATTTTCAAGAAACCGCGTAAAATTTAAAACTTTCAGCAAAATTATTGCAATTTATAAGTTTTTCATACTAATTGATATTGCCAATTCGACTTAATTGCTGCATAACCAAACGTTATTGGGCAAATAGTAAATTCTGCGAATCATTAGTCAAAGTTAGCAGGTATACTCATATCTAATTTTATTAATACAGAATACTAATTACAATACTTTATTTATAGACTTATATTTTAGACAAAAAACACTGGGTTACACACAACCACAACAATTCCTGTCGAAAAGAATCATCATCTGTAAATGCTTTGTAAGCTTTAGCCTAGTTGGCTAATAAACATTAATATAACAATAACATGATTTTATAGAATCATATATCTCATTTCGGGTACCATCAATTAGTAAAAAAAATCACCACAACACAAAGATTTATAAAATATATGGTTCCTTGTATATCTATTTATATTGTTGAAGAACAAATACTTTCGTTTTTGATAAAAAATTCTATTATATTATTAACTTATTTAGTTAATACTGGCAAAATGCTTAACAGCGTAAAAGAATGAAACATATTTCGTAGGAATTCATATGCCACAAATATAAAACGTCCATTGTCCTTTGGTGTGTTTAAGCGGATGTAGTAGTTTAATAATTCTACTATTAACATAACTGGTATGCGCTTCCATAATTTTCCTTCATCGTTGTATCTAAAAGAAAAGAAATTTAAGTGTATTAAAAGTAACGTGAAATAATTTTATTATTTTAAATAAAAAAACAGTAATGAATATTTATATATTATACAAACGCCTATTGCACATTTTATATGTATTTTTATTATATAAGTATGTATCTGCTTATTGTGGATATTAATATATACTCTTTTTATATATATAACTTGTGCTTATAAATATTTTATATGTACCACTTCATTCATGTTATATATATTGATATAGTACATAGAATACTATATTAGCCCCTTTCAGCAGGGACTTAAAAAGCTGGGCCAAAAAGCTGTATGTGTGTTTAGAGCCAGCAAATGACATATAATAGCATAAATTAACTTTTTTGTATAATTTTTTTCTAGACTATAGAATAAAACCCACTTAAAGCGACTCATTATGTATAACACAAAAAAAAAACAATTCTAAGATCCCTCGTTCGCTTTTTTACTAATTCTTGTATTTTGATAAATTTTAGTATATTAGTACTTAATAAATTTCTTATTAAATTTAAATTTAATTAAATTTAGTTTTCAAAAATATATTATGAAGCTTATTGTATTGCTTATTGTAATGCCATATGTATAAATTGTGTAGTAAATGTCCAATTGATTTAAATAACTACAGTGATTGAAGTAATTGCTATGCAATTTATTAATAAAACAAATTTTAGATATTGAAATGACGAACCTAGGCATAGACGCAAGGGCATTCAGTAGATTGACACAAATAATCGACCAACCCTAATATCATCTGAAATTATTCTTTTTTAAACTATTCTTTAAAAAAGATTAAACATTTATTGCTCTATTGTTTTGAGCCCCACTAAATGAGCGCTATAATTAGATTGTACTCTTAAGAATGGAATAAAAGTAATTCAAAAATTATTTTATGGATATCTACAGAAATGATCCCAGAAATAATAAATAATTGTGTGTGTTGAAAGGTTACTGAAAGCAATTAAGTAATAAACCAGTACTGAATATTTGCAACAACTTAATTTTGCCACTGGTGAGTATATATCAAATTACCATATACACACATTAACTTTATGATTACCTTTTATTGATAGGAGCTGATAATGCGACGCCAAATAAAAAACCAAAATCTCGTCCAAGTACAAAAATTGGGCTTGCTTCATGTCGTAAATAGCTCGGATCTGGACACCAGTTAAAAGCCTGCAATAAATGAAAGCATCATAAATTTTAAGGAATAACATAATATATATAAATAGAGACATTCTCACCATGCGCACAGACCAATGTGGATCCATATTCATACGTAACATGCCGTAATATATTAAGAATGGTGACATTGCAAAAAGCACTACTACGCTTGTCGCATAACTGCGACTAACTGTCGTCAGAAGTGGAGCATAGTAAGCGAAGAGTTCTAGAAGCATTATTGAAAATATTGAGCCGGCAATGCATTGATGCAAAAATTGTGTACTAAAATAGAGACGACTAATTGTCATTCCAGATGCCGATAGGGTAAAGAGAATTTGTGAAATAAAATCTGCCAACTCCTTGTTTAAGTTGCAATGTTTTCTTAAACGAACAACAGCAAATATAACAATAATATAAGTAAATGTGGCAAAGGACATGCAATGACTGGAAGGAAATCCACTACTAGTCTCACATGTCAAAGGGTATACTTTTAGTTGTGTTTTGTTTGGTACCATACTTTCATGTTCACGTATCCACCAATATGGACGAGTTGCCGGAACACTCCTTGAATGTGAGTAAAAGTGAAATAATTTATTTTCTTCAATAACGCAATTTATTTACTAACCATTTTACCAATGAGTTAACTGCATTTACAATACTCAGTGAACATACCAGACGTACCAGCAGTTGATGTTGAAATGCACCAAAAAGTGGTACAACTATGTCCAACAATTGTGCAGCTGACAGATATTCACTAAAAAATGTCCAAATTTTGTTGCCATTTTGTAAGCTAAATGAATTATTTTTTAATACATTTTTTTTTAAGTTAAAAATATTTTCAGTAATTCAACGTACTAATTCTGTGTCCATTCGTTGAATGAAATTTCCGTGAATTGTAGACCCAGCAATAAATTTGTCAACCTAGTATGTAGGTCTTCCATATTTTATTATATTGTTTTATTATCGGATGTTATGACTTTTTTAGCGTAAATTTTATACCTTATGGCAGAAGTATCCGTTTTATTTTTTTTACAGTTGTACAGATACAGCTGCTTACAGTACATGCGCAGTAAGGACGCTATGCGGTTTTGTTGTATTAAAATAATTTATATATGAGTTGGGCGAAGGAGGAATACGTTTAAGAGACAAACATAAATTTATATATATAAATGAATGTAAATGAAAAATAACTCAGGCTTACTGTCATATTATCTACGGTCCGTCCAATGATCTGCTTAATAAAATTCATCTTAAAACCTTATAAATTATAATATTGACACTCTTATATTTGTATTATAGTATCCAATTCTTTTACTGTTTGGTGTGATAGCATTTAGAGAATATTTAAAAGAAGTCTATCCTATATTTTGAGTATTTTTAGAAATATTTTTAGTAACTATAGTATACTACTATTACTGATTTACTGAACTCCTTCTGAAGCGTTAAGCCTCCAGAACTATAGGATAGTTAATATTTATTATGATTATTATTATTAATTAAGTGGAGAATACTATACGCTGCGATTCAAAAGATCTATTGTGCTAATCATGATTGCACAAACGATCATTAGATTTTTGATAATAAATTTTCTTTTGCTTAATAGGATCTTACTATAAATTTTTTAACTTTTCCAACTATTGTTAATTCTCCAAATCGGTTTTTATGTATTTGTTACACTAAGTAGGCACTCACTCACGTAATAATGACCGAAATCTAAATAACTGACACATTCAGTGTTAAAAGATACCGGAATTTTTAATTCTAAAATATAATTTATGATTTTGTAAGTGTTTTCCAAAAACTCGGAGTATATGATCTGTTCTGTTTTCTTGAAGTGAACATTATCATTTCCAGAAAGTCATTTGTAGTTAGTTGCGACCTAAATAAAATTCTCATTTTATATTGACGTATTGAAAGCAATACGTCAATATTCAAGCGTTGCCATATTGTTGTTGTTGTAACCCGCTGGGACCTGCTTGTGAAGTCCCTCTGGGGAGTATTGAACGGCACTTAATCGTCGCTGGCGACGAGTGGTTCGGGACGTAGACGCGACCGTATGTTGCCGTAGTCGAGGCCTACTTCAAGCGCTAGATGGGGCTTTTTTATGCTTAAAAAGATATATTCTGATTTAATGATTTTCTTTTTTTTTGATTTTATTTAAAAATTATGGTTACTTTGTACACATACTGTATTATGTAGTTTCCATTTAATTACTCATTTCGCGCTTACTTATGAGAAGTCAAGGAAGCTTTTCTTTAGAAGGACATGGGTATTTATTCAGGTTTCATAAAAATAATTTCAGCTGAAATGTCTTATGCGACTTCAGGTCGCTTTTGAAATATAAAAAAAATGAATTTTAGTACATTTCTTTTTGTAGAGGTATCATTTATTGTATATTTTTATATTATTATATATTATATTATTATATATTATTATATATTATATTATTTTATATTATTATATATTATATTCTCTTATCCTTATCTTTGCTGTTGTAATTCATTATTTCCTTTTATTTTTCAGTTTTCGAGTCATTCTACGATATCATCAAGACAAGTTGCATGGGTTCATTATCCATGAAAAAGAACCAGATGAAAATTTACGTATGACTTTGATCATCAACAGATTAACTAATGTTTGCAATCCACTTTGTTTAATAAAAATATGTCTTCGAATAATAAAACATCGAGTGACTCTCAATTTTACCTTTGTAAGGGACTAAATACAAAAGAAATGCTATACGAAATTCGAGTCCAAGCAGAAAGATGTTGAGGTTTTAATAAACATGTCCGTTCGATAGGTGTCTTATCGATTATGAGAAAGCAAAATCCAAGTCTTTTCAAAATAACGAATGTGTGACACAAATTATCAATTCTGATCGCTATAGTAATAATAACTAAGATATTAGTTTCCTAAAAATAATTATGTATAATAAAAATGAATTAAAATTAAAGACCAGGAATTATTAAACCAATTGATCTCCAATAGATATATATGGTTTATATACAGAACACAGACACATTACGGACACATAATGATTTAAAAATGAAGAAAAATATCTTGTGTATAAATGTATGTCGATACAATGTATCTTCTTTCTTTCTTCGAAATAGTTCATATTTTACAGTTTCAATGAAAAATCTTAAAAATGGCCAAAGAAGTTTACATTCTTAAGTATTGCTATTTCAGTCCTTTAATGATAACAATTTTGAGATAAAAAATAAACCACATCAAAGCGGTGATTGTTTGGGCATGTAGTTTGTAGGGCAGACAATCGATGGAACAAGAGTTTTTGAATGGAGAAGAAGGAAAGAGAAAAATTGGTACCAATACTTTCAAGATGAAGCGAGTACATTAAAGAATTACAACTAATTGGAAAAATTACCTCAGAATAGAGCAAAATGGAGTAGATTAACAGTGAATATAAATAACTGGATGAGAATGGTGGTATAGGATTAAAAATGCAGAAACATGAATACCTTACAAGACTTACGGATTAGACTTTTCTAGTAAGAAAAAAGCAGAAGGAATATTTAGGAAATATGATGAGATAAAAAAGTGGTGTGCTATTGAAACTAGTCCGAGTATAGTTAAAGAAACTTCTGTATATCAATGGGGTCAAGCTAGGTCAAAAGAGCCCAAACCAATATGTACAATTGAACAGGAAAGCAGAGGATAGATTCATGAGGAATAGAGCATAAACTTCGGCCGCTTATTAGAGAAATTTGCGTTATAAAACCTAATGTGGTTGTATATTAGGCTAGATTAGAAAGTCATACATATAAAAAAATACCAATTCATCTTTAATTGAATTATACAAATATATATTTAATTTTTTTTTTAATAAATTATATCAGATACACGATCATCATAGATCCATAACTAACATTCATAACAAAAAGAATTTCAATAAATAAATTGCATTAGCTGCAGTTCTTTTAGTGGTAGTGATAGTTGCATGTTTGTAATGTTGGCGGTGATATTGGTTACATGTTTGCATTGTTGCATGGTAGTTATATAAAAGAAAACATAAAATTAGAACGCAAAAAATAAGAAAATAATAAAAAAATGTAGATGTTTCGTTGTAGAGAGAGTATGACAGTTCCGGAAAGGGAGAACAAGTAAACAATTTCAATTTCCAATGAAAAACTTTAGCTAAGTTGGCAGCGCAAAGTGTCAATTGTTGTATGCGTTTTCGGTTTTACATGTCGCTTAAATGCTTTGGACTAAAGTCCTTAGAAGTAATCCTGTACTCGTATTGTTTCGTTGTTATATGCTGTTACGTCCAATAACGTTTTAACCGAAGTTTTCGAAATGATGTATGAAATAAGGTAGTTTTCTTGTTTTGTTCACTTCATCGCATGCCGACATAACACTTTTGGTTAGAGGGCGTGGTCCACATGAGAAAACGCCTATTTTAGAGACCTAAAAGAGTTAAAAATAAATGGAAATATTGTAATGTTTTGATTATATGGATGTTTTAGACAATAATTACATATGAATGTTTCTTTTGTACGAATTTCAAAAAGCTCGACATATCGGGCCGACCAAAGTGATTAACAGCCTTTAGACCAGTAAAAATAGATGTTTTCGATAGACGTTGAAAGTGATTTTCGCAAATATACTAAAAAAAAGTTAATAAAGTGATTAAGAAGTTTATATATCATTACTAGTTACACTTACCAGCATTGTAGTTCTTAAATCAAATTTGTGAAAGAATTGCGTTATGAATATGTGTATTTCGAGAACATTTGTAACATCTTTCTTCTCCACATCTCGCAACACATCGATAAACCATTCAAAATGTTTATGTGAAGGGCATATCCATAGAAAATAAACTTTTTTACAAGCAACACCGGAATAACGATTTGTGCTGGTACCAAAAACTAAATCATTGAGAATCGATGCGTATGGCGTGACACCTATGCCACCGCCCACCATAACAGCTACTTCGAATTTGTACCAATCCTGATTACCACCACCGAAAGGACCTTCAATTCGAATTTTCGGTTGATCCTCGGGATTATAATTGCATGGATCGAAGTAGTTGCGTAATTTCCAGGTCCATGGGCCTTGCGCTTTAATGTGGCAGCTTAAAAAGTTTTCATGTGGTGCAGAGGTTAACGTAAAACTATGCATTTCATGTGGTCTGAAGGCAGTGCAGGACAAACGTACCCATTGTCCAGATAAATATTTAAGATTAGGTGGACGATAGAATTTTATTTTAATAACATCTGATGGCAGTAAATCAGTTTCCATAACATCCAATGCCATATATTTGGTGCGTAATGAGACAATTTTATCCAATGTATATATTATGCCTGGTCCTAAAAAGAACATCCAAAATCTTGGTGGGCCAGTCAAACGTGCGAGACCATGTATTAAACTTAGTAAATACAAGCCAATATATAGCGAATGCATGTTCCAAAAGAATTTATAAGCTTTTTTACGTATCGTTGGATGAGCAAAGACGAATATTATGCACATTATAATGAAGAGTAAGACCCCAGTTGTGCCTGTAAAATGATAAGGTAGAAACAAATTAATTCCATTGGAATTTAAGTAGTTGTATGAATAATAATCAAATTAACAAATCGATTTAAGAAGATAATCTGGTTTTATAACATAATAACAAATAAATGAGACATTGGGATAAAGACAAATGCTGTATCTTCGAAAATCAAGGCTATTATCTTCACCAGCGTCAAATATATGATCTTGAATGGCCGTAAGACGTGATCTTTTCGAAAAAATATTTGCGCTAAATTATATAGCCACTAGCATAGTTAGAGGTAGCTGAAAGCATTTAGAACGGTATGTTTCGGATGGAAACATGGAGAGACATTGTGCTACATTAGCAGTGAGTAATAATAAATGATAATGAAGACGTGATACACAGTTGAACAGACGTACAGTGGTATCCCTTTTTTGAATATATAAATTTACAAAATATTGGACTAATCGCTTTAAGTTTAAGTATACTAAGTTTGTCTCTAAAATTTGATTTGATATATTTATAGCAATTGTGCAACTTCAATTAATGATATGTGGGTCGACATGGGCCTTCAAAATAACTGAAGTAATTTTTAACGTGACAACAATGTTTTATATATCACAATCAGCTACAAACTCAAGAAGATGTAGAATTTATTTGATCTTATAGCTCTGCAATCTATTATAAGTTCGTTAGCTATTTTGTATGTTTGATTAATCTTGTAAGTAAGTCATTCATGGAAAAATATAGTTAATAAATCTAGTTTACATATATAACTTACATATTTTTTCATTGTACCATATATAAAATATCAAGACTTACCTGTAACTGTTTGGAATAACCAAAATGTGATGTCAGGCTTATAGTCGGATGCAAAATGTACTTCTCTTGTTAAACAACGTAAATTCTCATGCGATTGCGTGGATACATGATAGAAATTAACAATGTGCCCTACAGTATGCAGCACCGAAAAGAATAATGCTGTACAAGCGGCTATCTTGTGAAATTGTATATGAGAATCCAGCGGAATATACTGTTGAATTGGAAACTCCTTTAGCTTAGTGATTAAATTTCTATAAAAATTATTTAAATTATGTATTAATAATATATATAATATTAAGTATTTAATGGAAGAAAATACATTGTATAATAACAATTTATACAAAGATTAAGAAAAAAAATTATGAAAGTGCTTTTTATGGAAATTTGGTAGGACATTTACTTTGGAACCTCGGACTTTCACACCAAACGTTATAAGATATTAAATTAATTAAATTAAAAAAAAATATAATCTTACATATAAGCAAATACAATATTATTGTGTAAAGGGCAACCAAATTTAATATCTATATTTATTAATGCATATTTATATTTTATTAATTTACAAAAATATACATGTATATATATATTTTATTAATTTACAAATATATATAATACAACCTTATCGATCTCGCACATTATTGCTAGTCTTTCAGAGATCTGTAGCATAGAATTTACCATATATTGATTCATTAGATTGTGCGACAGTAAGTTCTCTTTTTCGATTTTGAAAAGAATTTTAATTAAGGGTGTTGAGGTGAACCTGGAACCAATTTTTTTCTTAAACATCTGAGTTTCTGACAACAACGGATATAATTTTAAATATTTAGGTTTCATACAATAAAAAAAAAATATCTTATTTTGAATGATACGAATTTTGTGTCTTCATCAAAGTTTCTACACAAAAAATAAATAAAAAAACCTTAAATCTTAGACGTCCTCATTTATCTTCCCCTTCAAAAAGAAGAGTTGTTTTTTTAATATTTCTTAAAATAATGCTGTAGAAAAAAAACCATTTTTAGAAAATATTTGAAAAATCATTCCTTTTGAAGGGAAATATGTGAAGTTTCGAGAAGCGTGTCTAATATTGAACTGTTAATCTATTTCTTTGTAAAAAGTTTACAAAAAACACAAAATTTAGTTTTCTTAATAAAAAAAACTTTTTAATTAACCCTTTAAAAGCTTAATTTTGGAAGTTTAACCCGTTATTATCAGAAATCCAGATGTGTATGAGAAAATGTGTGGATTGCCAATTTGAGCTCAATAACCCTATATAAATTTAAATCATGTAATCAAAGAACCTCATTTAAAAAAATTATTTGTTTAATTTTTTTTAAAAAAAAAAAAGCATTTTCACAATTTCTTTTTTTGAATGTACTGAAATCAATAAAAGCTTTGAAAACTTGTGAATACCTCGACATTGTTAATAATAGCAATGAATAACAGAAGCTGAGTGAAGCGGCAGAACCACGCGTTATGGCTATACCCACACCCATTATGTGTCTCAAATCCGTATGCTCTGCCATAAAGGAATAATCTGATAAAAAATAATATTTGCTTAATCAAAATTTATGTACAATTTATTTTTTTGTTGATATATTTGTATTTAAATATTTATATAAGAAGAATAATACTTACGTATAAATCTCTCCACAAATAAAACGATGGTAACAACATAAAAGAGAAACAAATAAAATATATTCTGTCGGTTCTCTTCCAGAAACGTAATATAGCTATCCCATTTCTCTTGTATCCAATGACGCGGCTTGTCTTGCATAGGTTCAATATTAAAGGAAGTCATACGTGCAACATTTGTGGATGTATCTAAAAAGTTTTGCTTGGCCCCTTTGCAATCTAGACCAATAGCCACAAAGTCTCCCTTATATTCTTTCATCATAAGCTTAAAATCTTGATATGTTAGATGATTTTTATGCTCCAAGCCAACGTCTTGAAACATGCCATCAATCAGTTCTGTTACTTGATCGTCACCTAAACTAGTGGTTCGCGCAATTTCCACCAAAGAACGCATCATTTCGCTTAGTTCGCCTTTATCGATAACACCATTCCGATCGTTGTCACACATATCGAAGATTATACGTAGCTTGTCGTCTGTTTTGCCACGTGAAAAGAGAACAACGGTTTCGAGGAATTCTTGAAAACTAATACGTCCATCTTGATCTTTATCTACTATGTTGAACATTTTACGCACAAACATATCATTTGGTTTCATGCCTAAGGCAGCAGCAAATTCAGCTTTAGACAAACTTGTGCGCATGACCGTCATGACTTCACCATCTGTTGACGCATCGGAACGACGACGACGCTCGCCGGGACGTAGTCCAAAAGTTAAAGCGTATGCTTCACGGAAAAAGTATTCTAAACGTTTTTGTCTACGTTCACGTGTCTCAGCACGTGCTAGCATAATATCACGATTAACCTCAACCAAAGTCATTTCCTTTTTATGCAATGCTAAGAAATCTTCTAATTTTTTCACAAATTTACGACGTGCACCATAAGATTCTAGCTCCAAAACCAAGTCATGATCATTTGGTACACGCATCAAAATGTAAGGTTTCTTTTTAATGTGATTTGTGGCAGATTCCTCAACTGTGACTACGTCAATACTTTTCAAGCTGAATGTACGTAATTTTTCCCCTTTTCGATCCACAGTATAAATGGCTGCTTCTGGTCCAAACTTGACTGTAACTAGACGTTTATGGTTTGCATGAAGCCATTCACGTGCTAACATCTTGTCTACTGAACCTTTATGTTGTGGTGAACGCAATGCTTCTTGGCGTATCTTTAGTTTTCTCCGTTTACTATTTTGCAACTTGACCACACAGTAGCCAGCGCCAGCACATAATATGGGAACAAATCCCAGAAACACACAAACATATATAAACATCAGCTCTGAACCAGAGAAATAATCATAACCTTCCAGGTAATTGCAAGGTTCTAGTTCAGTGGCATTTAGTTGCATAGGTTGAGGACATGGATCACCCGCATGCCACATAAAAACATCAGCTTGTATATCTTCCACATTAATATCGGTGCTATTAACTATAATGTCGTATAATGTTATCTTACGTATTTCTGCAATTTCTTTAGGTGTGAAAATACCATTCCTCACATTTTCAAACCAAAAGCGATCAGCGTCACGTAAGCGTATGAATTGTTCTTTAATCACAGCCGTAAATAATTCACCTGGTTGACCGTATGACTCCAACATGCCGCCAACATAAACATCGACATTATCAAGTTGATTGTTGTAGGCTGATATCAGCATTCTTGAATAAAAATGCATAAACTGGTTAATGTTTTAAATGTTTCTATCTATATATAATACTCTACCTTAGTAAATCTGGTTCTTTTTCAAATAACTCTGGATTAATGTCCATCCAATCCTTACGTACTGGTAACCCAAATGCTTCCCGTGCTGTATTGTAATCTGGTAGACCATTATCACGTCCACGCATTATGTTTAATGCACCCAAATCACGTCTTGTGAATTCCATTGGTCCAAACAGTTTGTCACGCACATCCGAACATAATACTGGATCTTCACGTTCCGAAATTTGTGATGCTAATCCCATTAAAACTTCTTCAACTGTGGTATCAGTAAAAAATTCCTAGTTGTATACAAAGTTGCTACATTAAACCTGTGCAAATACCTTGCTTTTCTATTTAGACTCACGCTCGAATCCCACCAAGTTGAGCACAAACGTATAGCCGGATAACCCATAGGCGTTTTCTTATAATTACACTTGGAATCGCGGCGATAAATTCCAGGCGGAATCATTGTGTGTCCAAAACGGAAGGCAGCTGCTTGAAAAATGTGTCCAATACCGGGATGCACATCTTGCTTATAGCCGTCGTACGGTGGCAGTTCGGTACCCAAAAAGGCAGGCAGATATTCATACATAATAATATTTTGTAAAGTGGCTTTAACAGTGTGCCGCGCACGTTGGAAAATATCTTCATCGCTCCAATCGGCGTGGGTGTTCTTAATGCGTTGAGCAACTGTGTTGTGCCAACGTAAAAAGAGTATGGCAAATGACAATATTGCAGGATTTTGATTTGTACGTGGATCTCCTAATACTATAAAAGGTCAGAGTCGTTAAGATAAGAGTGGACAAGGTCCATAAAGGTACTTACAAAATAAACGCTCTGGACTTAACATCTTCATAACATTTGGCACTGGATTATTAAATAAAGGTACACGCATTGTATTTCTAATAGGCATTTTTCCGCCCTTTTCTGTTAACATTGTACCATTATGAAAGGTTCTCATGGCATTAAGCCAAGCCTCTGAGGTACTATAAATGAAACTACCATCAATCCAAGCAGTCATTTGATTGATCTAAAAGTAACAAAATATCAGCTTAGAGTTGTGAGAAAATTATTAATTTGTATTTACCTGTTCTCTGGGAGCATTTGGACTTTGTCCTGTTTTACGATCATATGCTGCTCGATGAAATGGTATGTATTTATCACCACGACATTCCTTGTCGTACATATCATCACATTTTTCAATTTCAATGCGATGCATTTCTATGGGACAACCTGATTCAGATGCCATCACAATTTCATTTGCCACCACTTGGCCAAAAAATGCTAAAAGTGCAGTCCGGTTATGTTTAGAACCAAGACCATCACGTCCTCCCATAAAAAGACGGCTTAGCCGTCTCGTTGATGGACGATTTGAACCTGCCATTGCATATACACCATCTGAATATGAAGGTGGTGCTTTGCGCACCAAATGACTATCTAATAAAAAAAAAATAGATGAAATGGAATTTAAATAGTTGTCAGCAAAATATGTGTCGGAAAAAAAATATTAAAAAAAAAATAAATTAAATAATAAATATAAAAAGAAAAATAAAAATACTAATAAAATAAAATAAAATAAAATAAAATAAAATAAAATAAAATAAAATAAAATAAAATAAAATAAAATAAAATAAATAAATAAAAAATAATAAAGTAAAAAAAATAAAATAAATAAAATAAAATAAAATAAAATAAAATAAAATATAAAATAAAAACAAAAGCGAGCCCGTGCGACTCATGGAGTAACATTAGTTTGACCTTCTCAGTATTATGTACCCAGATTCGGTTCAATACATAAGAAAGAATATATAAATAATTTAACAAATAATGCCTCTACAAACATAATAGTATTTAAATTTAATAATTAAAAATAAAATAATTAATTAATTCAATTATTCTTCAGCTGATTTCTGATTTCGTTCCAATATAAACACGACAAGTGAATTTGTTATCAGTTTGTTGGATATACCCCTGTGTAGTTGATAACACTTCAATCGCCTAACATTGTACATATAGTTATACATTAGAAATCCCTTTAATGTTCAGACACAAGTTATAGCTTCTCTAATAGAAAATATATCAGCCTGGTAGTAAGTTATATGTTATCATTTAATTTGATTTACTGTTTATATTTTTTAATTCACTTGGTTTGCAAATACCAACTCTTTGCATTACTTACCTACGGAACCCCAGTCCGGATGTGCAAGATTATTGTACCAGCCATCATAGCGCTGCTTTTCGATTGGACTATAAATTTTTTCTGAAATTATAAAAAAAACGTAAATAAAAATGTAGTTTAATGAAAATAGTTTATGTTGAATCGTAATAAATTTATTAAATGCTTTAGGTATGAGTCGATTAAATGGCATTTATATGAAATTATGTAAATCCTTGAACTACAAAAGTATGAAATTCCAACGCAATTTTAACATAAATAACGACCAGATGGCCAACCATCGCTGGAAAACCTTCTTAATACGCTAGGAAAAAAATACGAGAATGAATAAAAAATGTTTATAAATAAATTGGAACGCAATGAACAAAAAAAAAAGCTTAAATGAAACAAGTTATCAGCTTGAACGTACATTAAGCGTAAATTTAAATTTTTATAACTGACAATACATGTAGTATTTGTCTGATGAAATATATAGCATAATGGTTAAATCAGAGTCTTCGCCTACATGCCTGAGACTACTCATTGCAGATTTACCCATCGTGAGTTGAAGTTTAATGAGTTTATTTAATTCATAAAAACCGTACAGCCGAAGTACTTATTGCATTCCAATGAGGAACGTAAACACTTATGGCATTCGAAAGTATCTTTACTTTTAGTTTCATTTGAATGTACGAAAAAATAGGTCTTTGTATTAAGGCAATAAAGATTCTCAGAAAACAAGATACTCCTAGCATAGAAATATAGTATTAAAGTCAATTTTAAATGAAGTAAAAGTGGAGCGTAAAATTATTAAATGGTAAAATACGATTATGCATATGTACACCTATCTATCGCACAGGATTTCTTTTAGTTGGCTGATTCTGTGATTATTGCGAAGACTTTGAAGACGATGATCGAGTATCACTACCAAAATCAAAAAATTCTCATTAAAAGGCAATAATAGACGATTATGTATATTTATGTAAAAGAATGCATATCTAGCGCACAGAATTTCTTTTAGTTTGGCTGATTCTGTGATTGTTGTGAAGACGATGATCCAGCATCACTGCCAAAAATAAAAAAATTCTAATTGGAATGAAATAAGTACTTCGAACGCACGATTAATCACAAACATTTTCAAGTTCTTTAGTTCAGTCATCAGCGAATAATCAAACTTATTTTCGTTGGGGTTTTGGATGTGATCTGGTAATGGTCTGGTATGATCTGGTGAATATCTGGTAATTCGGAGAAGTTATGGTCAGGGACCGAAAATAACATTTACTTCAAAAATTTTTAAGAAAAAGTTGTCTAAACTTATATTTAAGTATATAGTTATCATTCTAACAACTTTCATCCTTAATAATATAATAGCTTTCTATATATGAGCGTTTTAAAATAAAAGTTAAGAAATAATAATTATATTTGCTTTATATTATATTTTTCAGAAATAATTATTATCATGTGTCTTTTATTTTTCCATTCACAAATAACTCTTACACACTGCTTTTATTTCAAACACAAAAATAAATATTATTTTTGTTTTTTTAATATAAAAATCAGGAATAATTTTTATTTTTGAATTTTTTATTATATTTTATTTACAACTGTTTTTGTAATTTCATACAAAAAGTAAATTTTATTATTATTTTTTGAGTTTTATTTTGAAATAATAAGAGTTATTAGTTGATTTTTATATTTTTAAGTGTAACTGTTACGGTCCCTGGTTATGGTTAATTACTAATTATGGAATTAAGCTAATTATTGTCAATGGAGTTAGTGGCAATCCTTGGGTGTAGGGTGTGTAGTATACGGGAAGTGTGAAGAAAAGCTAGTTTCCTTTTTTGATTTTTTATATTTTTTACAATAATTAAAGAGAAGCGCCATAAGTATGCAATGAAATTTTTGCACCATTTAGTATAAATTACTTCAGTTTCGCATTCCTCCAATCAATCTTATTGTGAAGTAATGGCATAAGAATAAAATTTTAAAAATAACATTTTTAAAAGTAAAATCTTAAGATTATACTAAAAATATTAACAAATATTTAAAAAAAAATGTTATTAAATCGAAAGTTTAATTGTACTTGCTTAGTTTGAAGTGCATACCGTCTGTCCGTCGAATGGCTGGGTTTAGTAACCAGAATAAATACAGCTTATATAGCTGCAACAGTTGATCAAGTAAAATTATAACACATGAATATGAAAAAAATGAGATCTAAACTTTATTTACAGCATAATGTCTTCAGCTCATTTAGAGAGCGTTATTGCCACACCTACTTCAGCATTGAACTACTTCTAAAACGGCAAGTATTTACATAATGTAAATAAAGTTTTTTATAATATATACGCAATATCATGCGTAAATGTTGTCAGTCGCTCGGCGTAACCTATTGGACGTCATAGCTTCTAATTATGCCGCTTTTCGTTAATGGACCCACTCATTACTGTAATTAAGACAAATTAGTACATCTTTCAGCGGCTCGACTATATAATTATTTGACTCTCTTCCACTATAAACTTATCATGCACTTGTGTAACATACATTTTTTATGAAACGAGATCGAACTCAACACACTATTTTTGAAAGTAATTTTTTAATGATTTCCAAATTCCAAAGAAAAACCTTAAAAACATAGTTTCTATGCCATAAAATACATTAATTAATTTTATTTCAATCTACTTGCGTTGTTGATTTAAAAGGTCTTAATTAAAATTTCATTAAATTGTACTATTCAATAGCAAAGCGCGCGACAAGTCTTATTCATTAAATCATTTTAATGCTACTTCAAAAAATAAAATTTTTTTTTTTTGTAAGGTCACTTATCTTAAGTTTTTTTTTATAGAAAACTTCATAGATTCCTTTTACCGTACGTATGTTTTAGCAACCATTTATGCATACATTTCAGACGTACGAGTGAGACGTACTATACGCATAAATTTGCGATTAATTGTCGATGTTAGTAAAGAATCCAGCCCACATACCACTCACTTACAATAGGTATATATTTTTTCATAATATATTCATTGAATATTATATATAGGCTAAAGAGAAGTTCATATTATACACACAACGATCTGCATTATTTATACAATATAACATATGTTAAAAACTAAGACAAGATACAAGTTTCAAGAACGGCGCAATCTATGTTCCGAACCTATTGTCTTTACAGACAATCAAATGTTGTTCACCACTTTTAACGTCCTTACATTTCTCATCCTATTCCATTATATAGGAAACAACCTAGCACAAATAAGAAAACCTGCTTTAGTAAAAAATAGATGTTTATAAGTCTTTAATATAATTATCGACAGCAGTTAAGAAATGCTGATGTAATCTCAGTGAATATTATTACGAATTTCGAAAAATACTTGAATTTAAACATTTATATCGAACATGTAATATGTTCGAAAGTGTTTGAGCTGGTCGAATATTATCCGACCTGTTTGAATATGTTCGATCTGTTCAAAAATTATAGATGTTTTCGAAATTATTCGTTCTGTTCGAAGATATTCGAAAATATTCGATTTATTCGAAATATTGAATCTGTTCAAAAATTATTAATCTGTTTGAAATATTTGATCTATTCGAAAATGTTCCAGCTGCTCAAAATATTGAACCTGTTCAAAAAAGTTCAATCTGTTCAAAATATTTGATCTGTTCGAAAACTTTCGAGCTGTTCAAAATATTCGATCTTTTGGAAAATGTTTGATCTGTTCTAAAAAATATTCCATCTGTTCGAAAATATTCGAGCTGCTCGATATATTCATTCTGTTCGAAATTATTTAAGCTGCTCGATATATTCGAATATTGATAATTGATCTGTTCGAAAATGTTTGAGTTGCTCAAAATATTCGATCTGTTCGAAAATATTCGAGTTGCTCAATATATTCGATCTGTTTGAAAATATCCGAAATGCTCGAAATATTCAATCTCTTCGATGATGTCCGAGTTGCTAGAAATATATAATATATTCGATGATGTTCGAATTGCTGGAAATATTCAATCTCTTCGATGATATTCAAGTTGCTCGAAAATTATTTGATCTGATTGAAGATATTTAATTTGTTCAAAAATTTTCGATCCCTGGTAATTGCAGTTTCAATCAATTATTTACGAATAATTAAATACAAGAAGTAACTCCAAAACCATATATTTGGAAATACTAGAAACAGCTGTATGATCAGCCAAAAATTAAAATGATTAAGATAATATAAAAATAGTTTTTGTTGTTGTAGTTTACAATAATCGAAGTTTTAGAAAAGTTGAATATTATTTGTAACTCTACTAAGTGAATATTGGAACCGAACTGTTATATGTACTAGTAGTAAAGATTGGTGAAGATTTGAATCTTTTAAAATATCACAGTATAAAATATCATTATAACAGTGGAATAAAAGCGAGATTTGCTTGTGACTAGGCGCTCTGAATGCTTCCCACTGTGAGTATGAGATATTTTTATAAAAATGTTGACATGACCACGAATTGTTTTTTTTTTTTTGTTATTCCAGTACATCATAAAATGAGCCCAATTTTTGGATGTAAAATAGAATAGATAAAATATTTTTTCAAAATTTTTTGTTAAAAATATGGTTAATAAAATCAAGAATATACTATACCAGTTCATTCTATGTACAATATATCGAGAATATATTATTTGAAAAATAGGTAAAAGATACTAATACATTCTTTTCTTTTGTAAATTGGTTGCACTGTACTATCATGTACCGTGTTATTATATGAGCATTGTGTGGAATCTGTTACCCAGACTGTTTGCATTAGCTCTTTCTATAATTATACTTATGAGTGCTCTGCGATAGTACAATTTTATCGTTGTACCTATAAGCGTTTTAGGCAAAACAAAACTTAATAAATGTGATAGATATTCGATTTAATTAATAATATTCGAAGTGATCAAAAATTCATCCGCCGATCGACGATTTTCGAGCTCTATCTGCTCAATGTTTTAAGTTTTCTATACAAATATGTATAACAGCAAACGCTCAATATCATATGGGTCATATTTTGTATCTGGAACATTTATGAGCAGCTAGCTATGCTAAGGTCCAATGCTAGAACATCAAAATATTTTTGAAGTTTCATAT